TGCTGAAGCTTCAATGCCTGCTTGAGGAAGGAGCTCATCTGCCACCGATGCGCTGACCCACAGGGGACGACGCGTTGGGAGATGGCTAAAGTTTTATAAAGCTCAGGAGGAAACACGGCTACTGAGGCGATAACCCACAGGGGACTCTGCGTCAGGTGTGTCTAACCTTTGTACAGCTGAGTAAGAAGCTCATCTGCGATCGATACGGGAGATGGCTAAAGCTTTGTAAAGTTTAGGAGGGAATGCAGCCACTGAAGCGATGACCCATAGGGGACTCCGCGTCAGGTGCGACTAAACTTTGTAAAGCTGAGTAAGGAGCTCATTTGCGACCGATGTGGGAGATGGCAGAAGGTCGGTAAAACTTTTGCAACGCTGCAACCGAGGCGATGACCCGCAAGGGACTCCGCGTCCGGAGGGTTGAAGCTTTGTCAAGCTGTGGACAGCATCTGGTGAGGCTAGGGATAGAAGTCCCGCGAATAAGTCTCAAACTATTGGAACCTTAGTGATTTACCTCGAAATGACGAGGACTTAGAGTCAGGCTCGACGATAGTGAGAAGTGAGGAAGAAATATTGCAGAGCCTTAAATAAACGTCTATCGAACTGTCGAACTGTCGGAGTCTTATAAGCCGGCCTTAGATAGACGAGGACATAGAACTAAGCTCGGCGATAGTGAGGCGAGGGATACTCATCTTGTGGAGCCACGAATAAACCTCTGATGAACTGTCAAACTATCAGAGTCTTATAAGTTGGCCTCGGGTAGGCGAGGACATAGAGTTAGGCTCGACGATAATGAGGCGAGGAATAAGCGTCCCGTGAAGCCAGGGATAAACATCTTGCGAAGTGTTGGAGGATCGGAGTCTTATAAGCTGGTCTCGGGTAGACGAGGGCTTAGAGTTAGGCTTGACGATAATGAGGTGGGAAATAAGCATCCCGTGAAGCTAGGGATAAACATCTGGCGAACAACACTAGGAAATGCTCATTTTTCAAGGGCAAAGACGTCTGACGATTTGCCTCTTCCTTTTCTCAAGGAACGAGGATCAAAATATATAATCTCTTCCTTTATTCAAGGAAAGAGGACTCCAAAATATTGCCTCTTCCTTCATTCAAGGAGCGAGGACTTATAAAATGTTTGAATAATAGAGATAATCATGAGCTAGTCTAAATGAGTGAGGGCTCGCCTTTGAGGATGTGAAGAACTCACTGCATTTAATAACAAGTAGAAACAACCAATGTATGCTGGATCCCAATCATGAATGGAGATTAGATACATTATTCATGTCTCCAACTAAGCCAATAAAATTCGAAAAAATAATTCTCCGTCAACATTGCATATTGGAACCCATTTGTATATTAAATAGGTAATAATTGGGCCCAGTCCTCATTATTCGTTGTGAATAGCTTAACCTGACCTGAAAATGATATTCTTTTAATGTGGCTGAAAATTATCTTGCATACTCGCATAATTTGAACTCCAGCACTTAGAATGGGCTAATTAACA